ATAATTTTCTCCCACAAAAACTAGAGGTGGAGGTAAAGAACTGCTACTGGATGTCATTCTTTGTTATTGATATTTTTTTTCTGGTTTGTATATAACTTTCTGACTGATTTTCACTCCCTCACAGGCCCTTAAAATCAATGAGATCTTGATACCATGTTATAAAATCAACAAAACAACAAAGAAATATAAAACTAGAAAATAAAGAAGAACAGAGTGTGATCCAGAGTTCAACGGCAAAAAAAGGAGAAAACTCTAGTTGTTGTGTTGATACCATAAATGTTTTTTTAATACAAAAAAAGAGATATGTAAATCTCCACAAAATAAGGACTAACACTCATTTCTACCTAATCTTTTACCATACAACCAACTCTCCCGTAAAATAGGGATTATCACCCAACCAAAAAGCAATAAAAAATTACTTAAAAGTATTTTAGAAAAAAACTCTATTTCTAACTGTCCCAAGCATGAAAAACAATTTGCTCAACCTGGGACAGTTATTGGAGAAAGGTTATCTTATGAACATGCAATAGAAGTTTATTGAAATATTTTATTCACATCAAAGGCTAGTGATTAAGGCACCATTATCCAAGAACAAGAACTTCAAGGTGAATTTGGATGCCACTGAAATACAGTGTCTATAAGCAACTAAAGTGGAGGAAGAGAGTTGGCTATGGCACTATCGATATGGTCATTTGAATTTCAAGAGCTTGAGTCAACTCAACAGTAGGCAGATGGTGAGTGGACTGCCACAAATTCAGTTACCAGTCAAGGTTTGTGAGGGTTGTGTAATTGGCAAACAACCCAGAAAGGTTTTTAAAACCTCTGCACCAAAACGAGCTAGGAAGGTGTTAGAGGTTGTGCACTCAGGTGTGTGTGGTCTTCTGGACACACCATCACTTTGAGGAAATAGGTATTTTCTCACCTTCATAGATGAGTTTTCAAGGAAATTTTGGGTATATCTACTAAAGGAAAAGAGAGATGTGTTTTCTGTATTTGTCAAGTGCATTAGTGGAGAGACAAGCTGATAAGTGTTTAAAAATTCTCAGAACAGATGGAGGAGGTGAATACAAGTCTAGAGAATTTAGTAAGTTCTATGAAGGAAAAGGAATAGTACATGAGGTGATTGCACCCCACACACTACAACATAATGTGCTAGATGAGAGAAGGAATAGGATGTTGTTGGACATGACTAGATGTATGCTAAAAGAGAAATATTTGCCACATTGCTCTTGGGAAGAGGCAGTAACCACTGTTGCCTATATTTTTAACAGATGTCGTAGAATGAAGACAGTGACACCAGAGGAGGCCTGGTCTGGGATCAAACTGTATGTGCAACATATGAAGGTGTTTGGTTCAATATGCCACAAACATGTCCCAGATGAAAGGAGGAAGAAGTTGAATGATAAGAGTGAGCCTCTTATCCTAATTGGCTACCATCCAACAGGTGCCTACAAGCTATATGACCCAGTTAAAAGACTGGTGCTAATTAGTATAGATGTTATTATGGATGAGACAACCTTTTAGAGCTGGAAAGATGATGCAAATTACAGTATCACATGTTCCATGTGTTTTGGAAGACAAAGTTGAAACGTCAGTTGTTGTACCAGACAATAGAAGAGCATAAAAGACAAGGTTTCCTTCAACCAGACTTGTTGATCATGAAGTATATGGTGATGATATGATCACAACAACTGGTGATCTAGTTCATCAGGCGCTTATGGCTGACACAGATCCTATCACATGGAGAGAGGCTTTGAAAATCAGGGAATGAAAGGGTGCAATGAAAGAGGAATTGGAAACAATTGAGAAAAATAGGACATGGGAATTGGTTGATTTGCCATAGAATAAAGACCTATTGATGTGAAGTGGGTCTTCAAACTAAAGCTGAAACCAAATGGATCTATGACTAAGTACAAGGCCAGATTAGTTGCATAGAATTGACTATACAGAAGTATTTGCTCCTGTAGCAAGGATGGAAACTATGAGGTTGGTCACAGTAGTAGCAAGCTTAAAGGACTAGAAAATCAGTCAAATGGATGTGAAATCGACCTTTCTTAATGGCTCATTAGAAGAAGAAGTTTATATCTTATAACCTCCAGGATTCGAAGTGAAAGGAAAAGAACACAAGGTGTACAGGTTGAGAAAGACTTTATATGGTCTTAAGCAAGCTTCAAGAGCTTGAAACAGATTGATAGACGCAATAATAGTCATACATGGCTTTGTCAAATGGACAGCGAAATTTAGGATTTATGTGAAGGTTACACTTCACAAAAACATACTTATTGTATGTTTGTATTTGGATGATTTAATCATCACAAGAAATGTGGCTACAAAGATAGAAGAATTTAAAGAGAAGATGAAGTCCGAATTTGAGATGACAGATTTAGGGGCCCTAAACTACTCTCTTGGGATGGAATTTGTGTATACTCACAAAGGAGTATTTCTATACCAAAAGAAGTATGCGAATGAAATTCTGAAGAGATTCAAGATGGAGGAATGCAATGAGACTGTAATTCCAGTTATGACTGACCTAAAATTGATTGAAGAAAATGAAGCAGAAGCCGATGATACAACCCTATACAAGCAAATTATGGGATCTCTTAGATTCCTATGCAATAGTAGACCAGACTTAACCTTTGGGGTAGGCTTAATAAGCAGATTTATGCATGATCATAGAGTCCTTCATATGGTTGTTGCAAAGCACATCTTGAGGTACTTAAAGGGTACTACATATTATGGAATTTTCTTTCCTAAGGCAGGTGAACAAAATGAAGCAATGCTAGAAGCTTATTCTGATTCAGATTGGTGTGGAGACAAGGTGGAGAGAAAGAGCACTTACAGGTATCTGTTTAGGTACCTAAATGCATCAATTTTGTGGTGCTCTAAGAAGCATAAGGTTGTGGCTCTCTTTTCGTGTGAAGCAGACTACATAGTTATCTGAGGTAGCTTGTCAAAGTCTATGGTTGGAGGTAAGTTAAAACTAATTTACTAGAAACCAATTCAACTACACCTTGACAACAAATCATTTATCAATTTGTTAAGAAACCTTATTCTACATGGAAGAAGCAAGCATATTGACACGAAATTCCATTTTCTTCGTGATCAAGTATGCAAGGAGAAACTAACTCTAGTTTATTGTTGTATTGAAGATCAAACAGTAGACATTTTTACCAAGCCATTAAAAAAGTTCGATTCGACTAACTCAGAAAATAAATTGGGATGACCAGCTTAGGACTTTGGAATTAAGGGGGATGAGTGTTGACCATTTAATCCAAAATTAGTTTAGGATTCTGTTATTTTGTTACGAACAGAATCAACTCCTATAAATACAATTATTTTTCTACTGTAAAATGACTTTAAGTTAATAAAGAAAAAATATTTATTTTCTCTCTGTGATTATTTTTCTCTGCCTAATTTTTCCTTTTCTTCATGTATTGTGAGTGTGTGTATCATCTTTTAGAAGTAGGAGTTGTCCTGCATAAAAAAAAGAATATTAGTTACAAGGGAAAAAATGTAAGAACAAAAGTAGTTAGTGCGTAGCTCTATAAAAAGAGAGAGATCGTAGTTATTTTATTATTTTGTGTGGTGTATACGAAAAATAAAGAAAATATTTTCTTAAAAGTGGGTTTAGGCTTAAGTGTATAAGTATTGTTATAATTGATGTTTTTGTTTAAGAGTTGAATTGTGAGAAAACATGAATTTAAGTGTTTTTTTTATTTCAGTTATAATTGATGTTTTTGTTAAGAGTTAGAATTGTGAGAAAGGTTATATACTGATTCCGCGGAAGTTAGAACAAAAAACTTAAAATATGTGGGAGTGATACCACTAATTACCATATAAAGAATAGGCCCTTTTGCATAAAAATGCTTCTAAAACTTGACCACAGCAATAGTAGATATTCTTTGAAATCTTGTAAGTAGATAATCTTCTAATGTAACAAACCCATGATTAGAATCGAAATCCATGACAATTTTTTTTTTCTACTGAAAAATAATGGGTAATTAATGACTTAGGTTTTAGAATTTAGAAACATTGTCAATTGGCCATATAAGCTAGCATCTCATTGTGTAGCTCCTTGTAAGTTATTCAAACTAACACCGCTTCCATCATATGCAAATTGAAACATTCATGTAATATGAACGGATACATCCTCATTGCGGAATTTTTTTTAATAATCAACCTTTTATCAGAAAGAAAAAAAAACTCAGAGCAAACTGTTTCATCTATATTTGTACTATTTGATCTGTTTTTACAATAAATTAAAATTAAAAAAAAACTCATATTTAAAAATTGTTGAAAACTTGCTTTTTTTATTTGGGAACTAATAACATTACAGTTCAGAATCCTTTATCAGAGAATGAATTTTTTGAAAAAATAAAAAATTATACATTATTATATGTTTTCTCCATGCTTCCTGCCGTCAATGTTTGAGGGTTAGATAAATAGTTACTTTAAGAAAAGCAGAGGCTTATGAGGTAAAAATGCTTATGTGAAACTTCCAGAAGCTAATGCATCAAAAAATTCTATGTTCAAGTCTCTGGCCTCAAACAGTTGGTCTATCAAGGACTTATTTGATTAGACAGTTGGTCTCTAAACCTTAGTTTAGAAAACTATATTTCATTCACTTTAGGTTGAATATTGAGTAATGACAAGTGGAAAAAACTTGCAATTTAGTCCTCTCGTTCACAATTCTTATCCACTAAGTCACTGGAGTTGAACCCTATTTTAGGTAGCCGGCAATTTAGACTAAATCACAACCAGTAAATTTTGTTTAAGGCAGAATAAGAATTGCGCAATTCAATCATCAATTAATCAGAACAGAAAAACTGAAATCAATAAAAATGATGTAAACCAGCATTTGTGCATAATAATTGAAAATTTGAAAAATATACAGAGAGTATCAAATGAAGCACTTTTGCCATTTCATTTTCTTTGTATTTCCTTACAAAAGTATATGGGAAATTTCCCAACATGACAAATGAATGAGAAGGGAGAAAAAATTAGAGGTAATCTTTGAGTTCTTGTTGAAGGACTTGCTCCAACCACAACTTTGAACCTTCCATGAGTTCAGGGCTGAGTCTGAACATCAATACACAGAACTCCAACTGATTGAGCGCCCCATCACCATCAAAGTCACCTTCCACAAGCATGGAGCGAAGATCCTCATCACTGAGGCCCTGAAGGCCAAGAAGGACAGAATTCCTCTTGAGGCTGTCAAAGGTGATGACCCCTTTTTCTAAATCCTTCAAAAGATTGAACCCATTGCAGAGTTCATCAATTAGACCATCCCCACCAAGCTTGTTGGCCATCACAGGCAAGAAATCTTGAAAGTGAGTTTGGGAGTTTTGTGCTGCCATAGTTTTGAATTGGAGTTGGGTGAGAGCAAAGATATGAAAGTGCAAAGATGGAAGAGAGAAAGAAGAGAAGATAGTGAGGGTGATGAAGGGAACATGATTGTATATAAAGATGAAGGAAGGGAAGAGAGAGGAATGTGGGATGGGATCTTCCAAGAAGGAAAAGGGATAGATTGAAGACAACTAAGCAACAGAGAGGAACAAAACTAGGTCAGACACACATACACGGTTTACTTTAGAGTGGACTTTCGTGGAAGTTAACAAAAGGGTAGAATAGTCCACTGCCAAATTCTACTCCTCATCTTTATTAATACAATATAGCAATTATTCATATATATTTATTTTTCTAAACGTCTCATTGATATTTTATATTTCTTTTTATTTTTTGTTTTTATCATATCTTAATAATTGCAAATTTATATTTTCTTCTGAAAGTATTATATTAGATCTTTCTTACTTTTATGAATAACATGTATCATTTTCTGGGTGCGTATGGCTGAGGCTGCGTCAATTATAGCCATTTTACATAAATAATAACGGTAATTTAAAAATTATTTTCCTAAATACTATTTTTTTTACTTATATTAAAATATATTTTTTAAATTATTATTTACCCAAATAATTTGTCACCTTATTTACCAAAATAATACATTTCATTATTTCGCGTTGAGAAATTAGCTAATGAAAAATCGATTTCTCAGTTGTATTTTGTAATTTTTTAAATATGTTTTTAATATTATGAATGGATCGAGTTTTGATTTTGATTATTCTAAAATAATTTCTTTGTTTTTATTTTTTAAAAATTGAAAATAGTACTTCTGGACAACTTATGTATCAATAAAATTAAGTATCATTTTAAATTATTTCAAACATTATTTTAATACAATGTAACCAAATAATATTTTTGAAAACAATCTTTCAATATATAAAATATATGTTAATTATCAATCTTAAAATAGATGTTAAGATCTAAAATTAGTATTTGTAATTTCATCATAAAAAAAATAGAAAAATATTTTACGTACTTATTTCACATAATTTATAATAAATAAAACAATTATTTTCAGTTTTAGAGGAGCTGTCAAATAATTTATTTTTACATAGATCAAAATCAAAACATACTCACTTTATATATACTAAAAATATATTTAAACTTTTTTTTTTCAAATTTCTATGAGAAATCAATCGATTTCTCAATGTGTTATTTTTCTAAAAAAATAATAAATAGTTGTTACATAATTTTAAATAAATAAAATGAGTAGAAAGGATTATAATTTATTATTAAAATATAATACGACTTTTTAATAATATGATAAATTTAAATATGTTTTGAAAAAAGTGTGACCACATGATAAATGTTCATCTCATTTTTTCCACACTTCTATTGAACTTTTTCTGCCCGGTCGTACTTTTTTAAATGCATTTTCCATCCAATACAAAAAATTAACTTATCTTTTTGTTTTATCTTAAATAAATAAATTGTATTTATTAAAAATTTGAATGATAAAAATAAAAAGTGAACCTTTATTGTCAAGTATATATATGTCTGAAACAATATCTGTTTTTTAGTAGTTAAAGGAGATGTTTGCAACTCAAGCAAGTACTTCCACCCTTCATCCCAATATCAAGCTTAAGAAAAATTAACTTGGTAAACTGTATTGAGAAATGTCATCATAATCCTAAGTGAACTCAAAATAGGCATTAAACAGAAAATGTAGAATACAAAGTACAAAAATTCCTTGATTTGTGGATACAACTCTATCAATTAAACTCACTGATTATCTCTCATAAAAACTCTGTAAGGCTATCTATTTTTTCTCATAATTTCTGTCTGAATGTGAGGATCTCTTTATGATTCTTCCTTGTGTGTTTTACTTTTAAAATCAGGAACTCTGTTCAGTATTTACGGCGGAGGTATGACGGGTATAACTTGCTTGCTTGATAAATTTGTAATGCACCGAAAGCTGTATCACGGTTTTAGGTTTTGAAAATTTTATCTTGCATTGAATGCACCTGTTTTGGTTGGTGGAGGTACTACAAATTCAACCTTTCTGCATAGTTTTCACACTGTTATTTGGCTGGAAGCACCACAAACTGTAATGTTGGTTGATAATTATTCAGATGATGATGATTTCCTTGTCAAAGGCCACCAAGTATTAAGTCATTCTTCATTCTGTACATTGTGTCTATTCATTCATTGATTAAAGAATCAGCATGCATGTGCCTGAACTTTATTTGTTTAAACATAGACATAAATAGATACCAACCACTTTTTGTACACATCATCTAAAACATGTCGATGCTGCTTTCAGTTTGAAGAATTACAGTTTGCTGTCTGGGACCAGTTTGTTTTGAGATCATTGACTTTATGGAGCACACTTGCCTCATTCACAAACGACGAAAGCTGGAAAAATCAACTCATGGAAAGGGAGTCCTTCTGGTTTTGTACCTCAGTTTGTTGATATATTATATTAATTCTGTATTTGAATTCAAGCAATTAGATGAACATAAATATTGAAGAAGAAGAAGGGTAAACAACTGAATGGAAAGCGTTAGCTTGCTTCTGTTCTGCCTTGCTTTGCTGAACATTATAGCAGCTGTCACTGTGACAGAAAGTATTAATCCATCGCAATCCATAAGTGATGACCAGATCATTGTTTCACCCGGCAAAACCTATGCACTGGGATTCTTCAGTCCAGGCAATTCCAAGAACCGTTATGTGGGAATTTGGTATAATGAGATTCCAACACAGACTGTAGTATGGGTCGCAAACAGAGACAACCCTCTTACTGATTCATCAGGGGTTTTGAAGCTCAATGAAAGTGGAGTTCTTGTCCTTCTCAACCACAACAAGAGTGTTATCTGGTCATCCAACACAACAAGTTCAGCGCGACATCCGGTAGCAAAACTTTTGGATTCTGGAAATCTCATTGTGCAGGATGGAAACGGCAATGATGAGGCAAAAGATTTGCTGTGGCAAAGTTTTGATTATCCAGTGGACACAATCTTGCCAGGACAGAAGTTCGGAAGAAATCTAGTTACAGGTCTAAATCGGTACATGTCATCATGGAATAGCTCTGAGGATCCATCTCATGGTGTATATAGTTATCAACTTGATATTACTGGATATCCACAGTTTGTTTTGAGACAAGGAAATTCCAAAAGATACCGTTTTGGATCATGGAATGGTATTCAGTTTAGTGGAGCACCTCTATTGAAACAAAGTCCTTTAACTAGATTTAGTTTTATTTCTGATGAGGAGGAGTTGTATTTTAGATTTGAGCTTACTAACAAGTCACTTTTACATAGGATGGTATTAACACCAGATGGACATATCCTGGGGACTTATTGGGATAATGAACGAAAAATTTGGAACTTGCATGCACGAATTCCGGTGGATGACTGTGATTATTATGGCAAATGTGGAGCGTATGCTAGCTGCAATATAGACAATATCCCTCCATGTAATTGCTTGGATGGATTTGTACCCAAAACAGCTGACCTATATGGTAGTTGTGCCAGGAGATCTTCACTGAGTTGTCATGGAGACGGTTTTTTGCGGGTTTCAGGGTTGAAATTACCAGACACAGAGAGATCCTGGTTTAACAGAAATATGAGTCTTGAGGATTGTAAGATATTGTGCATGAACAATTGCTCCTGTATGGCTTATGCAGCCTTGGATGTCAGTAAAGGGCCCAGTGGGTGTTTACTCTGGTTTAATGATCTGGTTGACATAAGAAACTTGACCGATGTTGATGAAGATATATACATAAGGATGGCTAGGACAGAAGTAGGTAGGCTTTTGCCTTTCAACTGGGACATTTTCTTTCTTGTTTCTTTCTTTTGTTATTATCTTGTCATTCTTACCATTTCCCAATATCTCTCTCACAGAAGCTATTGAAGGAAAGCAATTACATAAATCCAATTTCAGGAAGCAAGAGACTGTTTTCATCAGTTTTGCGTTGTTTATTGGAATTTTAATCCTATGTTTCACCTTCATCATATATAGACGGTTGAAGACACGGCAGAAAGGTGGTTAAGTAGTTCCTACTCATGATTTTAAATTACGTGTCTTGATTCTTCTATATATTGTATTTACTACAAGTTTAAGCTGAATTATCCACAAATTAGGATCATCTCTATCTGTGATGAAGATGTAAGCTCTCAGTAGTGCAGGCAGGCATATTTTACTTATTTACATAATAGATTTTAACTGTCTTGAATTTATCTTTCATTCCTTGATATTTAGTTACTTGGTATTAATCTCAACAAAAACAATTCTAATTCGCTATCACTAAAGCATGAAAAACCTTTAATACAAGTCAATAGAGTGAGTGCTGTATATTGCTGCAAAAAATGGTGTGTAAACTAAGTTTGCTTCTATTCTGTTTTAGACTTGGGTGAGGCAAATCAAGGTAGAAAGTGTATGAAGACAGAGGATATTCTACAATTCAACTTCTTTATTCCTTACACATACCATTTACTATATTGTAGGAAAGATGGAAGGTAATCTAGAAAGGGATGTGAATGTAATAAATGAGCACGAGAAGGATGATCTAGAGCTACCCATGTTTGAGTTGTCTACAATTACTTCTGCAACCAAAAACTTTTCACCTGACAACAAACTAGGGGAAGGTGGCTTTGGATCAGTATATAAGGTAATGAAGTGATTAAATGTCTACATGAGCCTAGAATGCATGATATGTAGAGGTTACTACATAATAACTGGGCTGTCTTTTCCTCGTATCAATCCGTTGATTGTTTAGTTCTCACATTTCATATATCACGTTGTTGAACTTCTAGAAAAATTGTAACCAATTCTCCATATTATGAAAACAAAACAAAAAAAATTCAATGTTGGAACCTATGTACTGAATGCTGAAATTTAAGTAAATTTACCTTTAACATTTTATCAACAACGAGGTCTTTTCATAGCATAATTCGTCATAACTTTCAGGGCATCCTGCCCGATGGAGGAGAAATAGCTGTCAAGAGGCTCTCTGTGAATTCGAAACAAGGACTTCCTGAGTTCAAAAATGAAGTTATGCATATTGCAAAGCTTCAGCACAGGAATTTAGTGAGGCTACTAGGGTACTGCATTCAAGCAGGGGAAAGATTGCTTGTTTACGAATTTATGGCCAACAAAAGCTTGGATTCTTTCATATTTGGTTTGTTTCTAAAGAAACCTTATTGATTGTTTGATTCATTTGGTATTATATTTTCATTTGTTGGATTGGGTATTCTTAGTTTGAAATTTATTGCAATTAAACCAATACATCAAAGAAATCATGCTAGAAAGGAAATAAATTTTCCTCTATCCAGTTATTCATCATTGCATGAAGAAGAGAAATTAATTTATTCTGCCCTGAAGTTTGTTATTCAATTACCTATTATATCGAAACTACTTAAACAGATTTCCTACTATCTAAAACTTGGCCACATTTTTAACAGATGAAAACAAGAGCATGTTACTAGATTGGCCAAGGCGCTTGCTGATTATCAATGGGGTTGCTCGGGGTCTTCTTTACCTTCATCATGATTCAAGGCATAGAATAGTTCATAGAGATCTCAAAGCCGGAAATGTTTTGTTAGATAGTGAAATGAACCCCAAAATCTCGGACTTTGGACTGGCTAGAAGCTTTGGAGGAAATGAAATAGAAGCAACCACAAAACATGTAGTTGGAACCTAGTAAGTGTCTGATTACTCCTAAATAGTATGAATATGGATATGATTGCTTGGCATTGTCTTAAAATTATTTTTTGGTGCATGTGATTGCAGTGGCTATCTGCCTCCAGAGTATATAATTGATGGAGCTTATTCAACAAAGTCAGACGTTTTCAGCTTTGGTGTGTTGATATTGGAGATAGTGAGTGGGAAGAGAAATAAAGGATTCTGTCATCAAGATAATCTACTGGCACAGGTAAGAATGAACTTGAATGTTAACTACCTTTGAAATGTTCTGCTGTTAAAATGTTTGACAAATTATGCAGGTATGGAGACTATTTACTGAAGGCAAATGCTCTGAAATAGTTGATGCAATAATAACAGACTCACTCCATTTATCTGAAGCTCTAAGATCAATTCATGTGGGACTACTGTGTGTCCAACTATGTCCAGACGATAGGCCAAACATGTCATCTGTGGTTCTGATGCTGAGCAGTGAATCTGCACTGCCTCAGCCAAATATGCCTGGATTCTTTACTAGTAAAAGTATGGTTGGCGATAGTTCTTCATCAAGCAGTTATAAACAATACACAAATAATGGCATGACACTTAGCGTAATGTCTGCTAGATAGTTGCATTTCAAACTTAATCTTGGATTGGTCTAATACGTGATTGTGGACAAGTGCTGACTAAAGCAAATCCTTTTCATGTATACGTAATTCTGTTATCAGACACAAGTCATTATAATGTCAGTTTTTACACTGAGTAATAAAAAATCGTTTTTGTATGACTTTTAACTGTTATCACAGAAGTCAACAAAATAAATGACGGTCTATGATTACTTTCATGATGTCAGTTGGTTTGCTTTATGAGATTGTTATCGGATGATAGAATAAAAAACCTTAACATTGTTGGTTTATATGTTATTTATTCTTTCAAATTTTAAAACGAAATGTTCAAAAAAAGAAATTTTGAAGTGAAGCACTAAAATAATACACTTGATTCTGTCCATTGAAGACATATCGATCTTACTGATTTAAACCGTGCATTGAGATAAGGATTAAATCAAAATTCGAACATTTTAAAAAGACTAAAAGGAGTTATTTCAAATTTCATAGGGATAAAAATATATAATAGAGACCAAATTAAAAACTTGCTAATTTTACAGACTATAAAAAAATATTAAATCCTCTAATAAATATATGAAATCAAAAACATTAAATGAATCTAATTACCATTTTTAATATAAGTGAAATTGGTTTAGGGTTTGAGGTTTTGAAGAGAGTATCATCACTTTTGCCAATGTTAGTCTTTACCCACTCCCTTAGTTAAGTGCTCCCAGATGTAGATATGATCTTATCATGCTAATCTTGTTGAACTCATCTGCTGGTTCCACATTCTACATATGAACCTCAATAAGAAGAGCCAAAGCCTCTATGAAACGATTCATTCTCAGATAGCCATCAACCAACCAGTTAAACCAAATTGTTCAAATCTCTTTGTTTGAGGAGTTGGTGAAACCTGATGACAATATAAAAGGAATTTACATGCAATAAAACATGTTGAGTAGTAGTTTCATTGCAGTTATTTCAACCTTATACGGTAGCTAATTCAATCAAAATTTGACTAATTTTGCCTTTTAAATCTACAAACTCCATATATATAAACTACCTTGCATCCAACAATGACATAGAAATCCCAATATGAATACATCTCAATACATCACCCTCAGCTAGAGCTATTGATTCGCCTAGTGATTCATCTATCAACTCCATTGGTTTTTCTTCACATCACAGTCTCCATGCCTATGATCATCAAATTTAATTTTCAATTTTGAGTTCACTGTGTATGCGTGTGAATGCTCAAAATCATGACCAACAACAAAAGTAAGCAAAATCTAGAAATAGTAACTTCTCTTTGATGAGGATAAAAAATTGGAGGGATGAGTTTTCAAATATGTCAAAAATATGTCAATATAAATGGTATTGGGTGGACAAGACTTACATGTCCAAGAAGGTCATGATCTTGATGGTCAAAAATATTCTCTATTCTTCTTTCCACAAACTGTCTCCAGTAATGACACTGAAACTGAAGACATCAGATTTCACCGAGAAATTCCCACGGGCTGCATATAACTACTGCAATACAGAAAATGAAATAGAGCTCAGAAACGTGGGAGGGGAAAATTTTATGAACGATAAAGTAACAAATCAAGTCATTTAAGCATGCTTACTAAGTTCCCACTATTCTCTTTGTTTTCCCTTCAACTTCATCTCCTCCAACTGCTGTAGCAAGACCAAAGTCTGATATTTTTGGATTCATGTTTTCGTCTGGAAGAATATTGCTGGTCTTGAGATCTCTATGGATGATTCTTAATCTAGAATCTTCATGAAGATAGAGAAGTCCTCGGGCGATCCCACAAATAATTTGGAAGCGCTTAGCCCAATGCAGCAAACATTTTCTAGTTTCATCTGACAAAAATTTCAGTAAATTAGCATGAAAATGACTCGGTGATCATGGCAAGAGAAACCCACGTATTGGGAAAGGATAAAATTCCTAACCAAAAATAAAGTAGTTCAAGCTTCTGTTAGTCATGAATTCATATATCAAGATCCTCTTATCATCTTGAATGCAACATCCAAGAAGCTTCACAAGATTTCGGTGCTAAAGATCAGCAATTAACACAACTTCGTTTATGAACTCTTTTGGTCCTTGTCCTGAATTATTGCAAAGTCGCTTCACAGCTACATCTTGGCCATTTGCCAATGTACCCTGACAATCATTTCATACGAAAGTTATGCAAAGAAGATAAATCCATGGCAGGATATTAGTTTAATCAAATTACCTTGTAAACTGGACCAAACCCACCTTCTCCCAGTTTGTTAATAATGGAAAAGTCATTAGTTGCATTAGCTATGGTTGACAGATCAAATATTGGTATATCAATTTCCTCCTTCTGTGTGTTATCAGTGTGATTCTTCCAGCTAACTACTTGGTTCTTCCCTGTAAGTTGATGGCAGTTAGATGCTTTCTGATCACAAATTTTTTCCAAGCTTAGTATTGTACAATGTTCTCTAATGTTCATCATATTCCTGCATGTTCTTTTAACTCCTGCAACAGGGATGAAATATAATAATATGCTTTCCAAAAACTGTCATGCAACAAACACAATGTGCAGCTTAGTAAGATCAGGAATTGATATATTTTTACTTTGCAGAGGTTAAACCTAGTTCTACAACAAATGCATGTTCTGTTTTCAGGTAGATGTTAATGAAGTATTAGCACCTATTTCTGAAGCTGCCACTCTTATGAAAAGATCTTGTCCTCCAGTGGTTAGTTTTCTCACATCCACAATATTATTAAACCAAAGCAAGCATCCACTTCCACCATCTCTGATATCTAAATTTGCATATGCTGTGCAGGAGCAGTTTTTCAGACAAAAATTCTTACATTCCTCGAGGTTCATGCTTTTGTCAAACCATGAGGTTGATGTGTCTGGCAACTTCATTCGCTGATACTTCAGAAAGCCATCACTATTGCCATAATCTAAATTAACTCTTCTAACACACCCATCAGACCAGTTTTGTGCATTCCAGTTTTCTTGAGATCTGGGAATGAAACCCTGAAGGCACTCACATGTTGGAGATCTATTTGCATCACAGTTAGAATTCACACCACAAACGGCAAAATTATCACATTGGTCTGCAGGGGCAGAGTAGAAAAGCTGCCAACTATTTGTCAAGTCAGACAAAACGAAACGTTGTATTTGGCCTGTTAATGTTATCATGTATCTCGAAATAATTGACTGGTTCAGGAGTTCATATCCATAAGAAACTTCCTTCTCAGTTATCACAAAAGAGAAATTAAAGTTTTTGTACAATGTTTCAGAAGGGATCCCTGATAGAATATTACCATTCCATGAACCTGGCCTATACAATAATGTCCCGACTTGTTGGTTTGTCGGAGATTATTGATGATTGCCTCTTGGTTTAGGTACGAATCCACTGACGATTTGTTGATTTCTCATGTTAGTGCCTGTTAAATAGGCGGATGCTTCAATTTATGTTCAGTTTTGTAATGCCTCTTACTAGGCTGATTCCCCTTTTTGGGGATATTGACTTTTTTCTTGCCAAATCTTGTCTATGTATTTCATTGGGGAATATCCATGTTGGATAAGCAAATTACTTATTGAGGATATAAACTTGTAATTTTGCCTTTGTTGATAGGCTCACTGGGAATAATCTTTCTTTTTTATTTGCGGAATGAAGGATTTTCTCTTTTTTATTGAACTACTTGGGGAGACAAGAATTATGACTCCTTAATTGCTTATGGACTTTTTGAAGTCCTTATTCTCCTTTGGGAAGTATGACGGAGACTTTGGATGAATATGTTTGATGACTCATGTGGCAACGATGTTGAGTCATGAGGTAATCTTTTTGTTGCCTGCGGAATAGACAAGGATCCTCTTAGGGATGATCAAGTCTTTCCTTTGACTTTTCTTTGTTGTGCCTTCTCTTTCTTGAATGGAAGCGGTTTGAGCTTTGGATTTCCTGAAGCTCTTTATTGAATTGTTTGATTTCGCCTTCTTCTCGCGGTTTTATTTCTTTTTTTTCGCGAATTCTGAAAGTTGGCTTTTCTTGGGGTATTACGTGTGCTTTTTTACTTTTTAATTTCTTTTTGTACATGTGGGCTTTTAAAAGAAATGAAAGCAATTTGGAAATAACAACAACTTTTATTCATCATTTCATTTTTGGTTGGGATACATTAGACATTCTAACTGGCAGAAAGACATAAAAGCAACATCCTAATCTTCCGCCTCTGGGCTAGATGCGGATGATCGTGCTGACGAAGGTAAACGGTGAAGCATGCGTTGTTGGAACCTCTCCTAGTTCTGGACTAGGCCTTCGATTCTGCAGTTCGTCCTCTCTTGCCTCACATTCATTTGACTGAATTGTTGACGCATGAATTGAAATTGTCCTTCCATATAGGTGTGTTCATCATCCATGTGTCGATATAAACCAGCAAAGTCTGGGTCATATTGTTGCTGTTGAGATTCTGGAGGCGCGGGGATCTCCTGAGATGTATCCATGTCATGGATATCTATGTCACTAAGATGTATCCATGTCATGGATATCCATGTCATCGGTATTCTTGATGCATGCAATAGACAATGAAAAGGTCAGTCAGGGTCACCTTTCCTTGACTCTCCTTCCTGCCGTGGAGAGTTTCCGCCAACAGCTTGTGGCAGATGCAGAGTGGAGGGAGAAAAGTCGCGCCCTTCAGGTGAGTTGGTAAATGTTGCGATCCTGTAATGACTTCCAACATAGCGGTGGGTTTCTCGCATTATGCGAACATATACTCTGGTGTCCGTATGCTTGCATGCTGGCAAAAACCCATTATAATATTGAATTCATCTAGCGTGGTGGTCCGATATGCCTCGTTCATCCAGTAGGAGATGATGTATATTTTTGGTAAGTGGACCAAATGTTACAAAAGTAATCATTTTATCGTCCTCAGGGATTGAATATTTGTTGAATACCAGAGCATTAATTTTTCCTAAGTTTGAGTAATCAAAGTTTAAAAGAATGACAACAGAAAAAATAATTTTCTTTTGCAGTAAAATATATGCTAGAGGATTAATTTCATATCCCTTCTTACAAATTCCTAGCCTATTTAATTAATGCAAGAATTAAATTTACCCACTAGAGTTAAAAGTGCTATTCACTTCCTAATCCCTTAGGTAAGTAAAATTATTCACTAAACTTTTAATTTTCCAATTCCTTGGAAGAAGAAAAATTCAGTGAACCTTGGATGGTTAATATTTTTGCTCCACAGAAACTAGTTAAGCTTGTATAATTTTCCAATTAAACAAAAACCCAACTTACCTTATCTATCAACATAAACAGTATCAATTTTTCCAAATCTAATTGCTCAAAATTAAACATAAAAAAACCATAGATAAAGTACTGGAGTAAATGAAATTACAATGCATCAAGATAAATAAGTTCAGAATTTGTCTTACAGAATATCACATTAATCCTCTAACATAGGAAAAAAGTTTAGCCTTCCATCAAAGTTTCTAAAAACTCAACCTAAAAAAAAACTTCTACGTTGCTTCCTTCTTTGATGATTTTTGGTTCTGCTCTCTCTTTAGCTTTTAACTTCCGTAGCCCCTTTCCACGTCAGCCCTCCTTTCTGCACTTCTGCCTTTGCTCTGATTCAGCCCAAGCCCAATAGCAAAGAAAATTAAGAACTCCACTGTCATCCTATGAGTGATGCCAGCCACGCAAGCCCACACCAAAATTGTTCTAATTGCACCTTCTTTTTTAACAAAACACAGAGACTACACTACAAGTTAAATGTAACGGTAAAATATAAAAACATTGTTCAACTGTTACAAAAAATACATGCAATTGACCTAATTTAATCTATAAAAATGAGAAAAAATAAACATGCATCAAAATCTCCAAGGCTTAAGTCTTTGCTTGTCCTCAAGCAAGGAAATTTCAATGAACAAGGATGATGCAAGTAAACGGATTCAGATTGTCATAACTCAAGTTCCAATTCCCAAAGAAATAATTTTCCAAGTACACCTCTCATCCTTTTTCCTGCTTGATTTTTACTCACTTGAACTGCCCACATACTAAATCACGTGTAACCAAAGAATTGCAAGACATATCGTCACTTGAGCACTATAGATCAATGTTTGAAATTAATCCTCACAGTGTTTCTCTCCAGTTGAGTGTTTCTCTCAATCACACATCATTTTTATGAACTTAAGCATTGATATCTTCTTTCCATTATCACCTTTGAAAAAAAAATATAGAGAGGTTCAAAAGGTCTTGAAAAGGTTGTAATGGGGTTTGGCTAATGAAGAAATATATGGTTTTTCTGGATACACAAAGTTCCAAACTCCAAAGAGCAAATTAAAAATGAAAATGAAAAATAATGGAACTATTGAACCATAACTCCTTTCTTTCTTTTGATAATTCTGCCCACATCTATTATTCTCAATTCTACTGAGACTCCATTTCCCCAAAGGGCTACCAAAACTTGATCCCCGGGAAGTCAACCAATTCCCCAGTGAATCAATAAAAAAGAAAGATCATCCCCAGTGAGCCTACTGCAAAGGCAAAACTTCAAATTCATCATCAGAAAGTTATTTGCTACGCATAGGCAAGACCTGCCAAACAAGAGCCAGCAACCCCAAAAGGGAATATCAGCCTATTCAGAGGCAAAATAATGCAGCCAAAAGTCTTCACTTCCGATGAAGCATCTGCCTAGTCAGAGACATTACCAGAACCTCAATGGATATCCGCTTACTCAAGAGGCGTCACCAAGATCAACAAATCCTCAGTGGATTCCTGTCTACCTAAGAGGCATTCATCAAGAATCTCCAATAATCAACAAGTTGAATGTCTATCAGAAAAGCCCAAAATCAGATAATCCCCAACAAATAACAAGTCGGATAGCTATTAGAAAAGCCAAAACTCAAAGAATCCTCGACATACCGGAAGACTACATCATAAAAGTCAAAAACAATTTCAAACAAAAAAATCACTCCCCATGGAGTCGGCGCATGAGCCAGAGCAATTAGTCGCAGCGGTCCTACAAAGTGGACTTCACAACCATACGGGGGTTCGTACTCGTCAAACCGGATGGGGGTGCGTACTCATCAAGCCTTACAAAGGGGGCTTAAATCGGACAAGGGTTCGTACTCATCAAACAAAGGGGTAAGCAATCGAAGGACAACCATGCAATTCACCCTCCAGCCGATCTTTTTGGCATTGAATTATTATCCGATTAAGAGAATTGTCATTGGTAGGATTAGAACCCGAGTACCTTAGAGTTAGAGGCCGATACTCCAACCACTAAGCTACTAGAATTTTTTGATAATAATTTACAAATAAATTATATTTATATATTTATATATTTATTTTTTTAAAATTATTTAATTTAATAAATTATTATAAATTAATCCAATTATGATTAAATTAAATTATTAAATAAAAAATATTTTATTTTTTAATTAGGTGAATAATTAAATTATATTAAGTAATTATTATATACTTTTACAGACGGATATATCCGTCGGTAACTAATTGTTAATTTACTGACGGAAATATCTGTCAGTAAATAATTGTTAATTTACCGACGGAAATATCCATCGATAAATAATTGTTAATTTACAGATGGATATATCCGTCGGTAATTAATTGTTAATTTATCGACGGATTTACCGACGGATACCGACAGATTTATTGACGGATATATTCGTCGGTAACTAATTATTATTTTACCAACAGATATATTCGTCGGTAACATCAAATTCCACAAATATGTTATATCCGTCCATAATTTCCGTCGATAATGATTATTTTCCGACGGCTACAAATCTGTCGGTAAAAAGCTGTCGGAAATACGCGATTTTTTTGTAGTGGCCCAACCTCAAAATAAAGAGTAGAAGACTTCTGTTCGAAGATGGACAAGGCCTAAAAGGTCCCTAGAATTGATCAATATGCCCCATACTAGAATATGAAGGATTTTTGTACGTAAAAATAAGAAATTCCACCCAAAGGGTTGATACCGCCGTCTCGTTTGGCGAGACCGCCGTCTCACCACTTGCCAATGGCGAGACCACCATCTCGTTTAGCGAGACGACCATCTCGCCACTTGCCGAAGGCGAGACCGTCGTCCCGTTTGGCGAGATAGCAGTCCCGACCTGGCAGGTGCGAATTCCTATAAAAGGGGGGGGGGGGACTTTCTCACTCTTTACACACCATTCTA